CCGGCGGCCGGTGCGCCGGTGCGGAGCGGCGCGGAGCGGTGCGGAACACCGCTGTCCGGCCGGCCGAGAGCCCTGCCCTGCCATGCCTCAGCTGATGAGCTGCCTCTCTCCTTCTTCTTGTTGGTTTGTTGTTGTTGGGGTGGTTCCCCCCTCCATTGCCTTCCTTCTCCCCTCTCCAAAAAAAAAAAAAAAAAGACATAAAATGCCCTTGGAAGGAGGGGAAAGGGGGGGAAAGTTGGACCTAATTTACTCCAAACTTTCAGTAAACAGCTCTCTTTGATTCATCTCGCTTCCAGTTGTAAAGAAAAGGGAGAAAGTTCAATGCTTTCAGGGCGTCTGATCCGAGGCAGAACACAGACCAAACAAGCAGACACGATTATACTTGCTCAGAGCCTTCCCCCCCTCCACCGGCAAAAAAAAAAAAAAAAAAAAAAAAAAAAAAAAAAAAAACACCCCCCCACCCCTTCGGGGATGTTGGGGAAGGGGGAAAAACCTCCTTCACTTCCCACTTGAAAAAAAGGGAGGGGGGGGGGTAGGAAAAAAAAAAACAAAAAAAAAGCAAGCCTGCCTGCTGCCTTTAGTGAGTGCGAAGTGAAGCTTGTCTTCCCTGCCTGAAGAAGTTTGGAGGTAGCTAGACTGAGGTTCGGGTGTGAGGAGAAAAGCTGCTTTTTGTGCAATTCAGGTGGCACAAGGCAGAGCGGGCATCTGGGAGGGCTCCTGTTCCCGGGGACCTCTGCAGGGGTTGGAATCCGTTGCGAGGAGATTACTCGGAGAGTTTGGTTGCTGTCTGGGTAGGGAGACAAATGTACCACCTCCAGAAAAGCACCTGGAGATAGGTATTAAAAATTCATGCAATAAATGCGAGTGACCAGGGCGTGATGATTCCCAAGCTACGTTTTCTCGGTGCGGATTCACGTCCAGGCTGAGCTGTGACATGAAGCAGAGGAGGTTGTTTTCTGTGTCAAGGCTGATCTATTTGTTTTATTCCGAGTTTCGAGAAAACCAGCGAATTTGGAGATTAGTGCCTGATTTACTGTTTGCCATTTGTGACCGTTCGGGACTTAACTGGCTTTTGCTTATTGCACATGTTTCACAAGGAAACTTTTGGGGGAATTTCTAATTGCTGTAAGAAAAAATGCATTTGTTGCCTGGAAAAGCCATATTTGAAAAGGAGGGGAAAAAAAATAAGGAAACCATTACAAGTTAATTATCGATAATTATACGTAGCCAACTGCCCAAGGTAGGGAAAATATGTGGAAGACTGAGATGCGAGCTCTGAGGACAGGCTGGTAATATTCCCCAAGAAAAATGTGTGTCTCCCTTTAGAGTGGGAAGAAGGGTGTTGATTCTTTTACAGCAGCCCCACATTCATTCCAAGAAATAGGAAATTCTTCGCCTCACAACAGTTTTTGGCATCTGCATTATCCCAGTGCTTTTAAGGTGCATTTTCTCTTCTGTGAAAGAGAACTCTTTGTCCTTTTTTTCTCCAAGACCATGGCTTCCCAAGGTAGACACTATTTTGTGCCTGTCACATAGAAAGGGAGTGCAGGTTTGCAGTGCTCACAGACAATTGATTGTCTGCCCTAATGTGTTTCATTTACATGTTTATAACGTCAATAGTGCTGGGGTGTCCACTGTACCATTCATTCCAGCATTCCCACAAGGGTGCAATTGTCTGAATGGCCAAGTCAGACACCTTTTTGATTGCTCTTTAGTTGTCTTTTTAGAGGATAGAGAAAAAGGAGAGAAATCTGTGATGCAGAAACACTAGTTGAAAATATTTCAGAATTAAACGTCACCATTAAAGCAGATGTGAGCATTAGACAAACAATATATTTTAACTAAGGTTCTGAAGGTGGAAACAAATTCAGAATAGTGGGGATGGTAACTGCACACGACAGCCAGTCCTGTCCCTTATTTTTTTTAGGCTTTTTTAAAATGATTTCTCGTTTTCATTTTCATTTCAGCCCCTGTAAACGCAGCCACCTCCTAACTCTTTGTATGCTTAACTGCAATTTGCGATTTTTCCTTACATATTTACACATCTCTCTTTATGCCAACAGCGTCAGCTAACCAGTTGGAAACTCTATTGAGAGAATATTTAGGCTGTGAGAAGTATAAACTTTAAAAAAAGAAATAAAAGTAAGATCCAAATATTTCTTCATCAAGCCTTTTTAATGAAAGGAATGACAATGCCTAGACTTTTTCTTGAAGCAGTTTAACTTAAATAGCTGTGTACCAACTTCTTACGCCTGAGGTTACCATCCCCTTGCGCTGCGAGCTTTCAGCAAAGTGTTTCTAGGAGTTTCCAAGTCAATAAAAGATTACTTTTTTAAGGTGTGCTGTGCTGTTTTGATACGCCACACTGTCCTTTATCATTGAAGTTGCTGCTGAGGGAGGCAAGAAACGATTGCTCGTGTTTCGTATCCGAATAAATAAGCCACGCAGCTTACTGAAACTCCTATCTAGAGATACATGTATACGTGCACATACACCTATCCGTGCGTATATCGTATATATATAGATGTGGTACGTATAGGTACACCTAAAAATAACGGTTCACATTCCAGACGAGAGATCATTTCCCTCTAAAAGCGGTGCTGATCCCAAGAGCTACAATTAATACAAGTTGACCTGTTCCGTCCGTGATCCATAAGGGAAAAGAGCACCAAGTCCTGTAGCTTCTGCTCGGGAGGTAGAGCGAGGGAAAACTTTTTGGGTTTGGTCTTTTTTTTGGTTGGTGGTTGGTTTTTTTTTTTTTTTTTTTTTTTGTTCCCCTCTCTATATAATTTTTGTTGTAAATTTTAAAAATGCCTGTTTGTGGAGAGATTTTTTTTTCTTTTTTTTTTCTTTTTTTTTTTTTTTTTGTGCCTAACAGGGAAGACACACACAGTAGATGCACCGTTAGCTGAACCCCTGACACGGCGGTCTTTTGAATGCCTTAGGTATGATTTCACTTTCGCTCACATCAATGCTGACCTGAATGCCTTTCATATCTGATCCGCTGTGTCTCTCCCAGTAAACATCCCCTGAGGGGAGAACAAAGAAAGGAGCTCTTCTTCTTCTTAATCACAATTCAGCCCATTCACCGCCGGCAGGCTACATTTGCATTCTGCAACAGAAAGCCAAGATGAAAAGAAAAAAAAAAGAGAGTGAGAAGAAGGGGGGGAAAAAAAAAAAAAAAAAAAAAAGCAGAAGGGTGGAGGCTGAGTAAAATAACTTAGGTGTTTGTAGCTGTTTGTTGGGCTTCCCCTAGTTACAAGCCTTATATAGATCCTGCTCTACCCAGCCTTGGCTCTTCTGACAGGCAGATAGTGTTACAAGATGGCATGCCTGTACTATTCATGGCCACTCGCTCTAACACTTGAGGTAGAAAGTGTCAGAGAGGGATCAAATTCTACTCTGAGAAGTCTGTTATAGTTAGGGTCAGGTGTGTGTACTCTCAGCTCTTGACTGCTGCCTATTATTTTGTTTTAATTACTATTATTGTTTACTCACCATGACCTTGGGGAGCGGGGGTGGCTGGGGGTGAGGCAGGCTTGGCCACCACCGGCGAGCAGATTAGCGGGGAAAAATCACCCTTTCCCCTATTTAAATATATATATTTTATATATATATATTTATTTATTTATTATCATTTTTTGGAGTTTTGTGGAAGGGTCGGGCTGGGTGGTTTGGCGGCTGGCAGGGTTTGGGAGCGGTGGCGATGCTGCAGGCCTGGGGACCTCGAGGGTGGTGGGGGTGTCCCCGCTTTGGTGACCGGCCCCGGCCGGCCCCGAACCCAACGGGGAAAAGCAACAACTCAGCAAATCCTCAGCGGCACCAGAAAACGCTCATGGAGGAGAAGGAAGGAGACATTTGTGGAAGTTTCTCTAGCTGGGTTCCCTCGTGGGGCTTCGTAGTCACCTTCATGTAGATTTTCCGGCTGTCCCCCCCTCCCTGTGTGTGTCCCCCCCACCCCAGATTCGTCTGTTTGTTCATCAGAAGCTCTTCTGTGCTTTTAATCAGACTTTTCTTCTTTTTTTTTTTTTTTTTTTTTTTTTTTTAAATGGTGAGGTTTTTGGTTGCAGCCACTTTATTCTCACCAAGAGAAGGTTTATTTATAACTGGATCCTGCTTACTGAGAAGTATTTAAGCCCTTTCAGGCAGAGCTGTCAAAATTTCCTGTGTTGTTTGCCTCTATTTGCAACACGTAAAAAGTAATATGCGGTTGCTGGTGTTGGAATAACCGGGGTAGTGCCTAAATCTCAAGTGATAAGTTTTCAACTACACTATCTCCTGCCGACCAAAGTGTCTTTTTTATTTTTTTTTTAATTATTATTATTACTTCCACCCTCCCCCCAAAACCACTTTTAAGATCCTAACAGGTTTCTCCCCCCCCCCGTCAGCAACTAGATTAAACGTGCCAAAGCAACTTTGAGAGGGAAGAACAGTTTGAACAATGAGGAGCGGGAGGGATGTCTTATTTTCCTGTAGCCGCTATGGCAGATTTCACTCATAAGGAGCACGCTAACCGAGATGTTACCAGTTGAACAGAAGCATGTGACACAGATTCCTGATTTTTTCCCAGAAGATTTGCAGAATTTACAAAAAGAGATTATCTCTACACCTTCCACCCTCCTAACCACCCCCATGACCCAAGCAATGGAGGATTTAGGCAGATTTACTTCAGTAAACACCTTTGGACACTTGGGGAAAAGTAGGAGTCTGTTTGCAAAAGCAGGCTTTTGTTAAGTGAGGTGCTGGATAATGCTTTACCAAGCAGCTGTGATATTAACCTACCCAGTAATGCTGGAAAGAGCATTAACTCCTTGTGCGCTCCGGGGCCCTGTGTTGGCCCTGCAGGTACTGGACCTGATGGGGGAGGTGGTCTTGATGGGGGGGGTGGTGGTGTGTGACACAGGCGAGGAGGTGGCACTGCTGAAACCACAGCGGCCACTCAACCTGACACATCTTTTACTTGGTGGCAGTTGAATCTTTCGGGGTCAATCCATCAGATACAGGGCCGGGAAAGGCTATGAGGCATCTCCATGAAAGCCTCCTCCGTCAGTTAGGGGTTATCTATATGTGTGTGCATACACACACACATATATAAACACTCTGTATCTACCCCCACGTATATAACACATCCCCAAACCTCTCTAGGAAAGCTCGCAAGCGTTGCTTAGAGGGGAAGGTCAATTTAGGATTGGCGCTCGAGCAGCAGCATAGCTGAGAAGTTACGCTGGCAAACCTGTACGAGTGGCTTCCCGTTAACTCCGGGCTCCTGGGGTTTGAAGGACAGCCGTCAGCTTTCTGGGGGCTTCACGTTCCCAAAAGTGAACTTTTTCGGGTGAGAAAGCTGCTTCCTGCTCTTTCCTGAGCCATTAGAAGAAGGAGTTAAGAAGTTAGTTATTTTGCTGGGCACAAGAATAACTTTACAGGTGTTTCTTTTTTTTTTTTTATCTCGAGTAAGTTTGCTTCATTTGGGGATTTTTTGTTGTCGAGGGTTCTCTCTTTTTTTTTTTTTTTTTTTATCTCGAGTAAGTTTGCTTCATTTGGGGATTTTTTGTTGTCGAGGGTTCTCTCTTTTTTTTTTTTTTTTTTTATCTCGAGTAAGTTTGCTTCATTTGGGGATTTTTTGTTGTCGAGGGTTCTCTCTTTTTTTTTTTTTTTTTTTATCTCGAGTAAGTTTGCTTCATTTGGGGATTTTTTGTTGTCGAGGGTTCTCTCTTTTTTTTTTTTTTTTTTTATCTCGAGTAAGTTTGCTTCATTTGGGGATTTTTTGTTGTCGAGGGTTCTCTCTTTTTTTTTTTTTTTTTTTAAGGTGTAGTTGTCAATGTTAGACCAGCCACAAATGTGTGAGAAAGCAAAGGGTATGAGACATGACAGAATTAAAGGTGTTTGCTATGTTGTTACCCGTGTGTCAAGCTGCAAGCTCCCTTTGTCACAGCCTCCCAGTGATTTGATAGTGTGGATCCACTTCCCTTCCAAGTGATACAGCAGTTTCTAACTGGGGGGTGGGGGGGTGGGGGGTTAATGCGTTGCGGTCGTTGCTATTGCCTTTGCCCTCCCCGAATACATTTAAACACCTCAACGTCGCGCACACCCCATTACTCCCACCTTACACAAGGGTGCTGTGCGCTCAAGCACCAGGACAGCAGCCATAGCATTACAGTATCTGGCATGGAGCGTCGTTTGGCAGGAATGTCATCTGCCAAATCATCCCATAATTACGTTTTATGTTATTTGTATGAATGACCAAGCATGCAGTATTCCTTTTGAAATCAAAGGAAGGCTTAAAATGCGTTTTTGAATACTTTCAGACCATGGTCAGGTCACAGTTTGGGAGTTGAATTAAACTGATCTCATTTGTGATCTAATTGAGGTTGGCAACAACCTTAGCAGTAGCAATAACACACAAATACAAATCAAAGAGCAGAATTCAGCAAATCAGATCTTTTGCTCGAATTCTGCCCGGGAGTTACTCGCCGACTGCCAACAGAGAAGTTAAACTTTGTCCCGCTTCTCAGCGGCAGCGCAAGCCTTGCATATTTTTCGGGTCCTTGACGGGAAAGTTGGGTGGGAGAGATGGGGACACAAAGGGGAGAAGGGAACCGGTGCCTCCTCGGCTGGGGAGGGAGGACAGGAGAGAGGCACAGCGACTCGTCACGTAGGTTTTTTTGTTTTTGGTTTTTTTTTGGAGATCCCAGTGGCAGAAAGCGTAGGAGGCGGAACGGGGGAATATGGTTAGGAAGGGCTGGAAAGAGGAATAGGTGGCTGCAAACAGGAACGGTTATTCCAAGCGGAAAGTCGAGGCAGCTCCCTATCTTTACATCTATCGCTGCGGATTCCAGGAATGTAATTACCAGAGTGGTTGCGAATTGTTGACAAATTTCCCCGGGTCTGTCGGGAGTTGGTGTTGGGAGCGGCGCCAAATAATTGAAAGGCCCTTCTCCATTCAGATTCCTGCAGACTTGGAGTTCGATGCTTTATTCCTGTCTCAAAAGTTGATAACAGCAGATGCAAGCAAAGTTTTTACTGCCTCTTCTAATCTGAATGCAGCTGTCCTGGATGTCACAGATAACTCAGGGAAGGAAGACTAAATGTCACAGTCAGGCTCTGGCAGGTGAAAACTCTTCTCTTCACCTTTAAGTTAATCCTGACCTGAGGACTGTGTGCTCAAAAATACCACAATCGTTGCCTTAAAGTCAGTCTTATGGAGTGTAAATAAATACCTGGTGTTGCGCTGAGCAGTATTTGCATTGCCTTGCTTAGCAAATGCCAGGCAAGTTAATTAAACCGTTGTGTGATAAGTTGAGGGCGAAAAATGCATAATGCGCAAAGCCTTTTTAATGCTCATTTGCTAGGAAAGGCAGTGGAGAAAAATGCAAAGCTGAGTAGAGGAAATCGGTGGGTTTTTTGTGGGTTTGTTTTTTTTTTTTCCTGTAAAATAAACACAGAACAAAGAGTCTATCTGCTAACATGCAGCATGCAGTGTTGGGGAGAAGGACAAACCAACAACAGCGAATGAGCTGGATTGGAAACAGCCGAGGAACAAGAATAAACATCCCCAAAAATGCCAAAGAGAAGAATACTAATTACTGCATGCAGAGGAATACGTGGCAGAAGGGTCATTTTTGCTTAGGGTACCCCCCTTTCACCCCCTCCCTCCTCTGGGCCATTATTTTCTTTGACTAAAACCTGTTTACTCGCCTCTTTGTTTTTTGACGTTCAACGAGTTTCCATCTCCTATTCCTGCGGATCTCTAAGAAATAGATAAACCATTATATTTCCCCCTTCCCCCCCACCTCGTATTTTAAAGCAGCGATCCTGACAGCAGTACTATTATTGCACTTTATGTTTTAGTGGATGTTTGCTGTTGCTAGTTACAGCAACACTTATCATAAGACAGCAAGAAAAGAGTAGTCCCTGGTAATTAAAGTAATGAAATATTCATTTACTCTACCTTTTCAGTAGTCTCACAAATTAGGCTGCTACATTTAATGCCTGCACTGCCTCTGTTTTTATTATAATGGCAGCTTTCGCATCTGCAATTAGGACTAATTCTGACAGTTACAATTTCTGAGGGATGGTAAACAGTGAACGAGATGTGCAGCAGTGGTATTACACGTGAAAAGCCCTTGTCTCTTTAACCTTGTTGTTTTTTTTTCTCGCAGAGGTTACCTTTTCCCGATGGTGCAAAATCGACTTGACATAACTGTTCATCAGTTTCAGGGTTTTCCCTGGAGGTATTTGCATCAAATCAGCCCAGTCAAGCTTCAAGTTGAAATTGGCAGGCCAGAAACTGACAGGGTAGGGACTGGGAAAGAGACAGCTAAAGTGCAGGCAGCGAGCTGACAGCAGCGGTGGGCAGGCAGGGGGAGAGGGCTCAACACCCGGGGGCTACCTCTCCCCATCTCCCCCCCCCCAAACCCCTTCAGGTCACCCCCGCATCCTCCCGGTTCCCCTTCATCCCCATCCTATAGGGGTGGAGGGTTGAGAGCCCGCCCCGGTACCGGGAGGAAGGCGATTTTGGGGGTGGGATGTAAAAAAAAAAAATATATATATATATCTATATAAAAGGAGGGGAAAAAGGTGTTGTAAAACAAAGACAGAAGTTGGCGTCGCTAACAAGCTGCTTTTACTGCGTGGTTTGTTGTTTTGTTGTTTTTTTTTTTGTGGAGGAGCGTCGCGTTTTGGCGCTACGACTGTTAAGAGAAGTGCCGGAGAAGGTTGTTAATACCAATGAAAACATTTTGATCAGCTCAAAAAAAAAACCAACCCGCCAACCAAACCCCAAACCCTTCAACCAACCCAGAGAGACGTTCATCTGCAAAGATAATTACATTAGAATCAAAACAAACATTTCCTTGAATATGTTTTTTTCATTTATCCTCTGTCACGGGATGGAGGGGGGGAGACGGACTCTGAGAAGAATGACGTGAAAATTAATTTTTAAGAGATTATTGGCCAAATCGGGTTGGTTCCCTGTGACTCTCCCCCGCCCCGCCAGAATTTTACTTTTTTTGGAAAACAATCCCCAATCTCACGTAGCGTGGAAAGGAGCAGCACCGCAAGGAACAGGCACCACCCTCAGGCCCGTTCCTCCCTTAGAGGTGAAAAAGAGCAAAACCGTGTTGCTCCCCCGGGGAAAAGAGCTGTGTGTGTATATGTGTATATATTTCCCCCCCCTAAATATATATATGTAGTCTTTACCAGATGATTAAAAATCCCTCTCGCTTTCCCTGCCAGACTTGGGCTAAAGTAAGCCTTGCTTTCAAACAGTTTTTCAGCTGTGTGTGTGACAGGCATTGGCTGATCTGCTGATGCCCATTCGACAGGCACTGTTGAGCTAAAGTGGTGTGACGGCACAGTTTTGTTAAGCTGTGAACAAAGGGCTGGAGATGCCTCGCTGGCATCATCCATGTGCATATTGGCCTTGTCACAGTTTTGCTTGATTTAATGCTCTGTTTATTCCTAGATATTAGAACTTAAATTCCAAACAATATGTTTTTCATATACGGCGCACAAACTTTATTTTCAAAGCTTTTGCTCCCAAGAACTACAGATCCGTTTGCCTGTCCAATATCCGTGCAGCAAACATTTAAAACGTAGCTCCCAGAAAAAGAGGTGGCCGGTAGCCTCTTGACTGTTATCCAGTTAAAAAAATGGGATTTCAGTTTTTTGGGTTTTTTTTTAAAAAAAAAAGGTCTTAGAAGGGTAAAAGATTTATTTCTTCTTTGATCATTTGTTGAGAGTTGTTATTTATTTCAACAGTGGATTTTCTTATAAGCTCCTCAGGAGAGGTTACCCTGTGTGCAGGATGGACTTTTCAAGTGCCATATCACGCCGGCGGTGTTGCTGTGATAAAAGCAGCGCGTCGCAAATACCTGTAAGCAGAGTCGGAGGACTGTTGGCAGGCAGAAATAAAGCAAGCTGGGTTATGGCAGGTCAGTGGAAGGGAGCGGGAAACTGGATTAAGATTTAAAATATATATCTCTGTGAGTTCATTAGGTGGCCACAACTTTGCATCTCAGTGGTCCGTCGAGAGAAAACATGAGCATACAGAGCTATATTTAGATTCTGATTCTTTTAGAGGTGCCATAAGCTTTATCCGTAGAAAGTTGGGGTTTTTTTGGGAAGGGGGTTCTTCTGCCCTTCTTTGTCGCCCTTTTAAACTCTCTTCAGGTTTGCTGGGAGTGTTTGCTAAGAGATTAGTTAGCCAGCTTCCATGGCGGAGGTAGCCCTGGGAAGCAGCTCGTTGCCAGGAGGAATGCTCGGTAGGTCAGGACGCGAAGATATAAGGAGCTGCCCAACTGAGGCTGGGGATCAGGTATTTTCCCTCTTTGTTTCCTATCGGAGACAAAGTGCTTATGGAAAGGTTCGTGGTGAAACATCAAATCCCAGCAGGAGCACAGATGTTCCCGCTTTTACAGGCTTCCCGATGAACATTTCGGCTTCAACAAGTTTATGAAAGAAAAGATTTATTTATTTTTTTTCCTCGGTAGATGCAGCTTCTTAGTTTGATTGTGTAAAGATTGTATCGCTCCAGCCACTTGCAGTTATTTGGTCCAAGGCACGGTGCTTTACTTGAGGGCTATAAGTAGGGATGGGAGAGAAGGAAGGAGGGGGAGGAGGGAGCGTTCGGCAAAATGAAAGTATTCCTTCTCCAAACAGTGCAGTCTAGAGCCTAAATCTGAAATTGAATCTGCTGGGCAAAACCTGCGCGATTTTTCTACCTGCCCTTAGTCTGCTTCCTTTCAACTATGACAGTTTTACTAACTGAAATGAATGGGTTTGCTTTCTCCGGTACCTTTTCTCAGTGTGCGTTTACATCAAGTACTTCAAACAGAGAGCTGGGTGATATATGTAGGGGGACAGCTTGCACGGAATAAGCTTTAATGGTTAATTTTTGTATAGCTTTATAAATGAAAGGGACTTAAACCTACTAGCAGTATAGATCACAAGACCTTATGTGGTCTATTCTTCTCTAGATGCACAAGAGATTTACGTGCCTAAGTCCCATAAGAGTTAATGGGAGTTACGCATGTAAATCTCTTCCACTGTGAGATAATAGACCCTTTTATGTATGGATAGCTGGATTCTTACAAAAATCACCTACTGAACAGTAGACTTTATGTCCTTCCCTCTTGACAAATATTTATAAAGCGAGCAGGCCAGCAGATGAGACCAGGAACCCCCCCAGATGTCTCCAAACCGCAGTGACCCCCCGTGCCCCCGCAGTGGGTGGCAGCACAGGAGCGGCCCCGGGTCTGCCTCGTCCCTTCGGTTCGGTGTCCCGGTTTTGGTCCGCCGCGGGTGGCATCGCAGGTCTGGTGGCGACAGGGTTCGCGCACGGGCTGACATGGTGTCTCACCTCTTGGCAAGTCCTAGTTGGTGGAGACCTCTCGTTCCACGGGTTGCGGAGGATATTGGGAGGGGGAGAGCTGCCACCTCTCTTCTGGGGGGCTGCGGGCAGCACAGGTAACTTCTGGGGTGCACTTCTCCCCTTGTCCCTGCTCCCCATCCCACCTCCACTGGGCCATTTATAGCCCTGGGGGTAGCAGACCCCCAGCAGGACCGTCCCGGGCCGCTGGAAGAGCACGGTGGTGGTGGCACCACCTCCCACAGCCCAGGTGCTGCTAGTGCTGCACATCTGCTCCCTTCCCGCTCCGGCGCCACCTCCCTCCCTGGGAAAGCCAAGAGGCTTTGCCTCTGATGGGAACGGTCTCCGCCGGGAGATATACATATCTATATAACTTGGATGATCTGTATCTGCCAGCCATAAGTCAGATCGAGATCTTGTCCCCCTGTAACGTGTCGCTGGAGATAGCCGGTGCCACGGCACATGCGTGTCGGTAACAATCCCCTGGGTTTTGTGAACCGTGGCTCTTTTTTGCCATCATCGTTTCTTTCCATCACTCGCCTGCTCCTTCCCCATAGCCATCTGAGGGAGTTGGGCAAGCGGCAGAGTTGCCTGCCCTCAGGTCCCAGGCCTGGCAAAGCACAATCCCCCCCTACCCTCCCCCAAAAAAACCCCAAACCCAAACCCCAAACTTACGCCGTGAGACTATCAGATTAAATCCCAAGGTTTCTACCGGCGGCAGGATGGGAAAAGCCCATTGTTTGTTGATTATCGTATCATCAGCCCCGGCTGATACTCGGATGCTCAAGGAAAACACACTTCGGTTACAGTTGATTTTCAGATTCCAAAATGGTGCTGCAAAGTCTGTGCATGCCTAATTATATTTTATGCTAGGCTGTGCAATACAAAATGTATGCTGCAGCAATCAGTGAGTTAACAGTATCAATCAATTTGTAAACAGATGAAGTCACTCATTCCCAAACTGGTTTTCCAAAAACAATTACTAAATTACAATAGAAAAAAATTGTACAGTTACTGTATTTGTGTGCTGTGTTACAATCAACATACCAGGGAAACAAAACAATTTAATGCAGAAAAATCATCATTCATCTACATTATAATTGCTTCTTTTTCACATCTACAGGGCGGTTAATTAAAATTGTGATTAAATGCGGTCGCGCTGCCTAAGATGTCTTGCCCAAAACAGGTGGTACAGAATTTAAAAGTAAAAAAAATGTAATTAGCATTGGAAATTGAGAAATTGCCTGTAAGAATCAGTGTTAATTTCAGTCAGTGATGAGGTAATTTATAAATGAATGCAGTGGAGGCTGTGCAAATGCACAATTGCCTTCCTGCCCATTCTTAGCATTCTCAGCATGCAGGTGAAAATGTTTTCAAAATATTGAGGTAATTTGAAAATCAATCCGTGCATTCCGTATCTTTTTTTTTCCCTCCCCGTTCGCAGCAAACGCTGAGCAAATGCCGCCAGAGATGGCACAGTGCATCAGTTTTGCACTTTTTTTGGGGGGGAGCGTTATTACGTCTGTCGTGGCATCAGCCAGAGTTTAACTAAACAAAATGTTGAGCTGAGTTGCTTTACAAAGGCCAAAAATGTCGATTGAAGTCCCCGGTAATCCCGACCGTCTTCAGCTATGGTATGTGTTTAAACGATACGGTATCAAAAAAAAGTAACAGCAACCTGCAGCGAGTTGAAATAGTGCAGCACAGACACCGGGAAAGAAAAGAGATGCTAATATGGCACGGAAGTCATCATGATTTCTTGTTTAAAATTAGTACAGCATACTCAGAGAGTCTCGGTAGTACCGATGCTTTCCGTAAAAACTCTCTTTTTAAACGTGCGTTTCAAATTTCATCCCACAACCATAAAAGAATTGTTAACTAGGTTATGCATACAGAGATTTTCCCTCAGATGAACTTTGTTTATCGGGATTTTTGGTGCTTTCTCGAAACTTTCAGCGAGCAAATGAGAAATGCTAATTCCTAACAACAACAACAAAAAAAATAAAATACGACCTGCAGATACAACAAGCTGGAGGCAAACCTGACAACAAACAGATATTAAAGATTTAAAATCTTCTTGACAGTCACAAAAAAAATAATAAAAAAAAATAATCCAAGGCACACATTGCTGGAACTGACATTTCCATGATTTGAACAGTCCTCGTCCCCCTGTTTGACTCCAGAGAGAGCTCCGGCTTAGTTATCCTCGTGCATATTTAAAAATAACTCGGGCTTTCGGTACAGCCGACCGCTGGGCTGGAATATGTGAAAGCAGTTGGAATTTTTGAACAGGGACGTACAGGTGTTGGTATCAGGTTGCTGGAAAACACAGGGGTGATGGCTTTTGAACATAACGTGCTTTAATTAAAGCAAGCTGGTCTTCCTGCAGAAAGGCTGATTTAGCCATGTAATTTAACTATTGAAACCCTTTCTATTAATTTTTCCTTGACATATAATAATGAAGTTTTCTTCCTGCTTTTTGCAATTCTGATATGGCAAAAGGTAGATCTATTCTCTCCCTCTCTATTTAGGAGTTCTTAATACTGTATTGTTCCTTTGTACTGATTAAAACCATCCACGGTACAATTTCTACATTTTTATCCTTTTCAGCCCTAGGAGGTGAAGCAGAACTCTGTTTGCTTCGAAGGGCAGTGAGTAGAGGTGATGTGGTGGTTTTTTTGTTGTTGCTGACCCTTGGTTTGGTTGTTTTTTTTTTTTTGTGTTGGGGGGTGTTTTTTTTTTTTTTTTTTTTGCCTTTTGATAAGCCCTGTGCACTTCAGAGGCGATTTCGATGCTATTTAATTTGCTCGTACAAAAACCCCTGCGAAGGGATTAGGCCCAGGAAGGGACAAGGGCAAGGCCGCGCCGTGCCGCTCCGCGCTGGACCGCTGTGACGCTGCCTGGCGCAGGATGCGGGTTGGTACCGCGGTGGGATGCTATCCCAGCCCCGGCTCTGCTGGTACAGAGCTGGGGAAGGTGAGTGCAGCATCAAGTGCTATGTGTGCTCTCCGGCGAGTCAATTAACCTCGCCGTGCTCATTTTCCCTGTCTGTGAGACGGGGAAATACTGCCGAACTCATTCACAGGGCTTTTGCGGAGCTTAATATCTCTAAAGCGCTCTGCCATTCCCTGGGACTGCAGAAGAGCAAGAAGCATTCGTTGTTTCGTCAGAGGGCAAGCGGGTGCCAAGGAATTGGGCTGAGAAAATCATGAATGTATGTTTCTAATAATCAAATTCTGGGAGTTTATTATACAACGGATTATTCTAATTTAGAAGACAATATTGCTTTTAACTCCCCCTCCCTCCCCTCTCCCCCCCCTCCAGTTTTCTGCCACTGAATATAAAGAAGCTAAGGGTAATCACTGAAGCAATGATGATTATTGACTGAAAGGTATTTTAAAATGTGAGCTCCGTTATGTGGAGCTTGGCAAGCAGCTGCACCGATGTATTTGAACTCCTCCTTTCGGTGTCGGGGCTGTAAGAATATATCGAAATATTAGCAAGCCGGCATAGGTGCAAATCCCAACCCGGCTGCAGTCGATGGGGGCACACGGGTGACTTCAGTGGGACACGGACCAGAAAAGTCAGGTTTGATGCCTGTGGCTGGTTTTCGTGGAAAGCTGTAGGATCAAACTCGTTTGGAAATTCAGCCTCATCAAACCGAACCCAAGTTTGGGCTTTTCCTTTTCTCACGTGAACTGAAAGGAAGCAGGAGATCAGGTCCTGCTCCGCTGCCACACATCCGTCCTCTCCCCCAGTTACATCTTCGGAGCTTTCTGGGCCCGTTTCCCATGAGGAAAGACCAAATGCCACGAGGAACATGAGCAGGATTTGGCCCCGAACAGGCAGCGCTTACTACTTCATAAACTGAGCCATGGCCATTGTGGTGGTGGGGAAATGCGGTGAAGGAAAAGTAGCTTCGCGGATTCCTAAAATAGAAAGTAAACATAAATATTTCTACTTTGCATGTCAGATTTCAATCACCTCTCAGAACAACTGAGCTTCTTGATTTAATTAATTATGTTGAGGTTTTGTTTTTTTTTGGAAGGGGCGATATGTGTGTGTGTGTGTCTTCGGAAAGAGCCAAATGAAAATATCCTCTTTGTTTCCCCATTGTAACTACCGGAGCTCTCCTCGAGTTTTAACTCTTCCGCCACCCCAACACCCTCGCAGCCTTCGTTTTTCTACGCTCTTCTTATCGCTGCCGTCCCATGGCAAGCCCCGGAGCCTGGAACATTTTGTAACGACTATGTGACAAATTGTCGGGCTTTTATTCACGTCGGACATCTTTTGCCAGGATTGCTTGTTGTTTTTTCTGTTTGGCTGTGTCATGGGACCAAAGGTGGCTGCTTTTGTGCAGCATGTCAAATCTGGTTAACATGCAGCCATTTATCTTTAAAACCCCACTCCTGCACAATGGCAGGGGTGGACTGGGCCACTCGTATGGGCTCCAGGCGTCAAATATATATATTTATTTTCAGTGCCGTCTTCTCTCTATGTGTGGGTGCACCTCGGGCTGCGGCACTGCGGTGAACAGGTCATGCAGCAGACAAGATGTTTCATAATTTTGGGAACCTTTTAGAGACAAATTGTACAGTGCAAGCGTAGTGTAACTGAACTGCTGGTTGCCCAGTGAAGTGTAGAAAATCAGATACAGCACAGCCTGAAAGAATGAAACGAGGATTCATATCTATGTACATACATGGTACTTTATAAAGAATGCATACACAGAGAAAAACACATTTCTTCTCTTTTTCTCTGCTTATAGTGGAGGATTGTGCGTGGTGCGTGTGTGGATAAAAGTGTTTATGTGCATGGTGTATATTCATACAAATAATATGCCACGGGATATGGGAATAGTTGTATGTGTGATGCATTTATATGCGTAAGTGGTAGGTTTGCAGGTTAATGCCTTCTTGACTCTCTGTGTGTGCGCGTGTAAAGGATGGAAAGGTGCTCAGCACGATGAAAAGATGAATCATTCTAGAAATAACATTAAAAAGCCCCAAACTTCCGCAGCAAAGTTTGCAGCTTTGGCTGCTTTTCCTATATTTAATGCAGTGACCTTTCTGATGAAAACGATTTCCTTACAGATACAGCGATAATTATCAAATAAAGAAGCCGGTAAAGAAATGGGAAAGTTTGATCCAACAGCCAAATGAGGGCTGGCTGCAAAGTCTTGGTGCCTTTTTGCAGTGGAAGCATTTGAGAGAGCGGGACTCAATGTTTTTTTAATGATTTGCTGTGTTGTGTAATAATTATACATGTAGTGCAGTGAGGTTACTTGGAGGAACACCGCTCTATGTATGTGTTTTTGGTTTGGGTTTTTTTTTTTTTTTTTGAGTAAAGGGCCCAGGAGATTGCCTTTCACTTTGAAAACAATCCCTAATATCAGGAAAATGCTCTGTTTGTTTATGCGTACATAATGCAAGTTTGTCCGCCTGGGAACTGCAGCAAATGGGAGAAGTATGCATGGATTTCACAGGTAACAGGATTACGTGGGCACATAATTGATCCATTTGGAGAAAAAAATGACAGTGCTCTAAAGATGCCTAGGCTTTGGAGATGGCGTTTATGAAACAGGCATTTGTAAATTCAAAGGAATCAATATGTCAATTTTATTACATCTCAGGACCAGCTGGGCATTAAA